GGAAGGGGGCCCAGGGGGAAACTAGGTCCCTGCTCCGTTTCCCTTGTCCCTTGAGCCTCGCCCTCCAGCATGCTCTCCTCTCCTACCCAGGCATACTCTTGAGTTCCATAATCACCTTCGAATGCTGTGATCCCAGAAGACCAAGGCAAACAGGGGCCTTGTCTTTAAAAACAAAACAAAATACAACACAGTACAGGAAATGATCAGTGTCTTAATTTTCCCCTAAAGTTCCACAATCAAATTATAACCCTAGGTATCAGGTATTGAACTCAAGGGCAGTTGACCACTGAGCCACATCCCCAGCCCTATTTTGTATTTTAGAGACAGGGTCTCACTGGGTTGCTTAGTGCCTAGCTTTTGCTGAGGCTGGCTTTGAACTCGTGATCCTCCTGCCTCAGCCTCCCGATCTGCTAGGATTATAGGCGTGCGCCATGGCATCTGGCTCACAACCCTATCTTATCCTGTTGTGAACATCTTCTCAAGGCGGAAAGACAAGCAAGGCAAGCCAAAAGAGCAGCAGATCTGAGGCAGAGGTTTTCTTGATGACTCCATTTTAATGTGACCTTAAAAATGGATGCTTTTGCTTTGTAATAGGACCCCGAATGGCCAGCTTGCTTCACGTTCCACGGGAAGTTCAGTTTTCATCTGAGTTGCAAATAAAATCAAGCAGCCTTGTATGGTGATTAAATGGAACTTTCTTACCATTTTATGAATGCTGCAGCCTAGATTTATAGGACAGACCTCCTTCTTCAAAGCCATGAGGCTCTCCTAAGGTCTCAGAATAACGACCCAGCAATGTGGCCCAGGGCCAGGGGAGTTGCTACACCCCCAGGACACTAGGGATGTAAGAAATCTGGGCTCCTTTTCCCAAAAAGGCCAGAGTCTGTTCTTCGTTTGTTCAACTCAACAGTCTCTGCAGGGAATTTCGCTGGGACAGCAGCACAAGACACTGGCATAAAACTCTAAGACGCGTGAGCAGTTATTTTAAGGCTGATGTCTCTTGAGCACTCTATGCCCAGACAAATTTAAAAATAAGCAGGTTTCCAATGTCTAAGGATGGGCCAATCTCTGAGGTTATTGAGCAAAGAGTCAACACGCTAAAGTCAATTACACTATTGACAGATACTCTTAGGAGGAGATTTCACATCATAATTATATGCAAAGGAACCCAGCAAATACAAGCTGTGTAATGATCAGCTAATAAAAGTAACACTTCATCTATGTCAATAACAGTTTCAGAGTTAAGACAAACAAACATGGCCTTTGCCACTCAGCGGGAGGGGGGGGAAATTCCCTGAAAGACAAATATTTTCACTTAAGGAGAAGTGCTCAGCCTCACACGGAAAACCTATCACACAAAGGAGAAGAGGAAATTGGTCTTTAGTGGGTGCTAATGACTCTCAGCCCTCCCTGGGCCCCAGCTGTTGGCCTGGGGCAGCAGTCCCTGTAAACACTGGGACCCCCGCAGGCTGGAATCCCTAGGTACACAACGCCATGGGCCAGGCAGACATTGGTCTGTGTTGTTCCTTCACATTCCTCTCAACCTCAGGTTTGACTGACATGTGGCCAAATTCAAAAATTTAAAGATTACAATGGGCGTGAAAAAGCAAAACACAATTTCCCGGCCAATCACCTGTCAGTGGGATTTACAAAAAAAATTTGCTGGTTCTGCAAAAGTACACATGGTTGGGTTTATGTTCATTGTCCTGAAAGCATCTCAGTACCTATTTTTTGCCTTATAAACAGAGGGCCGAGATACCACAAGCAAGTGTCTCTAACCTTATAGAACTTTCTACCCTCTCCCCATAATTTTCCTTAAAACTAAGGGTCAGGGATGGAACCAACTTAGACAATGTACCGCTCATGACTTATGGCTTTCTTTACTAGTTATCTCTATTTACGGAAATGGAAACTTGCTTTTTTTGTGTGTGTGTGCAAACTGTGGTTGCATATTTTACCAAAATGAGTTTGCTCAAAACTCCTATGATGCTCAGGAAGGTCACCCTTTTAATTAGATTATGAATGCTTCCAGGACTGACATTAAGCAAACTGTGCCAATGCAAGGCTACTGTCATCAGCCTCAAACTCACCCTTCTACAGTGATTCAAAGTCTTGGGTTGGGGCTTGGGGCAGGGGTTGGGATGGGGCTGGGCCTGGTGCTGGGCTGTGCAAGCCACACTTTGCTTGACCATCAGCTTCTGCCAACAGGGGGAGCCCTGGAGACTGCAGAGGTGATAGAGGAGAAGGGACAGACTCTAGCCTCTGTTTCCTGCTCCTGCCTTCCCAGCAGCGTCTCTGCACCTCAACAGCAGCAGCCCCTTCTGTAGTAGGCCGGGGAATCCAGTGCACGGTTTTCCCAATGTTTGCAGAACCCTATTCCCTCTGAAGTGCGGGTACCAGTGTGCACCCACTCCTCAGAGGCTGGGAGCCCAGACCTCATGCCCTAGACACCATCCTCTGGGCAGGAGCCTAGAGCCCAGAGCTCCATGGGGCCACCATTTCCAGCTTCTCCCAAATGTTCCCTCGGCCTGATGCGGAGCCTGTTCCCCCCCTCTGCCCCTCTGCCCCTCTGCCCCGTGAGACTTTGGGTTCGCTTTTTAATATCCTTTTGGTTACCTGGTTAATAACTTTCTGTCTAGGTAATGGTTCTTTTATCTTAGAGGCTCTCTGTTCAAACACCTGGTGTGATTGTTGTCTCCTAGCTGAACTCAGCTGACACACAGGTCCAGTCTTAGAAGCTATTTTCTGGGCTTTCTCTGGAAGGAACTAACTGCAGTGCTCACAGATGGGAGAGCGGCAGCTTTTTGTCTTCTTCCCTGGAACTGGGATTGAACCTAGGGCCTTGAGTACTGTCATACATTCTACCACTGAGCTATATTCTACCACTGAGCTGTGTTCCTCGGTCCTTTTTATGTTGAAATGGAGTCTTGCTAAGTTGCTCTGGCTGGCCCTGAACTTGCGATCCTCTTGCCTGGGCTTCCCTGGTAGCTGGGCTTACAGGTGTGAACACCACCCCTGGTCGAGAGACAGCTCTTTGAACAGAAACAAGACATCATTGTTTGGCTGCAGAGTTTATTCCCAAGAGAACATGACAAGGGGGAAAACCATCAGTATTTAAAATAATACTTCTAGAGAGGACTAATCAGTAAAATTCGCAATAATATATACCATGAGGTTAATAATTAAAATCAGGAGACAGGGTCAGCTGAAGGCTACCCTGGTGTCTGCTGGGCTCCTCTGTGTCTTCTAGAAGGAATGGCTGACTCACAGCGAAAGCTACTCTTGAAGGCACTCAAAGAAGGTGAAGACCATATATGAGAACCTGCTAATGGAAATACATTGTTGCTTCACGAAAAAAAAAAGCCTACAGTCTCAAAGTCTTCTCAGCCAAAATGGTAAACTAGGAGGTGAGACGGGAAAGGTTTTAAGAATGGAAAGTGGAACAAGTGGCTTTCACAGTGCAAGGCCAGGCCATTTTGGCTTTCCTGGAAGATGATCATCACTTCAGAGCTCAAGACGCATTAATGATCTAAGGGGAACCAGGAAGGACTGCAGAGAAGCATAAGAAGAAGCGCCACAGCATGTAATTTTAGAAGGCACCTCCCTGTCAGGTTAGTCGGAATGACATATGCTTTTTATGATCTATCACTATTCTAATTCCTACCCAAATCTGGCATTATCGGGTCCCAGATAACCAGAGTCGGCCCTAAAGATTAAGCAACATGCCTCCTGGTAAAAGCAAGCTAGTTGGCTGCAAAAGTTCAAAGACACAGTTTATGGAGAATCTCCACCTGGTTGACCTGTGCAAGCCAAATTTGACCATGCTTCTCCCTCAGACCCAGTTAAACAGATTCCGGGACCGTTTCCTTAGGGACATGCAACACCATGAGAGTAAAATGGCCTCAGGTGCAAGCCTGATCCCTAAATCAAACCAAAGGAAAGGGCTGCTGCTGGGAGGGGTGGCTCTCAGACAGACAGGCCTTCTAGAGGGGTCGTCTGCACCAGCAATGAGCAACTGGCCATCAGTCAACTGAGCGAGACCTACTCCCCATCCCCAGCAAGCAAACCACTGAGAACAGAAGGCACACACCAAAAAATTACTAATAGACAGGGTCACACACCAAATGGTCACAATCCAAGCATGGGGTTAATGGGAAAAGCAAAATCTGTCCCGAGCTGGGTGGCCACTTTCAGAAAAGTGTCACCAAGGAGTCACATGGAGGCTGGGGGAAATCTGTACAGAAATTCTGGGCAAATTCCACATATATTCGATGAGCACATTTGGTTCAGAAAGAAGGGAAGACCGGGGGATGTCAAGGTGCAGTGGGAATCGTCAGGTGCTTCTGCAGACAGCTGGTCTGAGGAACGGGCAGGATAAACAGGAAGAGGCCACCACACTGCTGCACAAGAGGGTCTAAGCTAGCGGTGGACCTTCACCAGGACTGTCAGTGGGGATGAGGAGGACACAGGAATGGAATCTCCCAAGGAGACTGGCTTGGCATGTGGTTTGGCAACTGACCTGATTCTTGGAAACAGGGAGATGAGGCCACTTGCTATTTATAGACCACTTACCAAAGCACATTTCACATGTGATTTTTGCATTTGAGTTTCACAGCAACCCCTGCCGAGAGGTGGAGGAGGACAGGGATGAGGGAACTGAGTCCCCATAGAGTCAGACACCAGCCCAGAGCCAGACAGGGAAGCCAGGGGGCTAGGTCCAGAGGTAGCTCCATCAGCCTGGAATCTAATGAATACCCCACCCCGTGTAACCTGTCTACATCGCCTCATCTGCACGGAAACCAGGATCACCTGACGGCCCAAGAAGGAGAGCCTAGCATTTGGACAGGGGCTTTGGAGGTGACCTTGACTTTGTTGAACATTGCAACTAGGTTTGTCTTCACTCGCTAGAGGCTGGTCCTCTGCATCCTCTGTGGGGGCCCCATGGGGTGACGCCCTCCCCTCTCCACAGGCCGGCCCTGGCCGGTGAGCTCCTCCCTTACCTCATGGCTGCCGTCATTCCAATGGGAGTGATTGGCAATGGCCGGACGCCAGGAAACAGCCCTCGGCTCAGAACCCGCGCTCCATTTTGTATCACTCCTGGAGAAACTGGAAAAGCAAAAGGAGAAAGACAACATGTGAATCCTGCTG